ATGATCTAGAAGGCTATGTTTTAGAAGTTGATGTGTGTTATCCGGAAGGTTTGCATGATGCTCATGCTGACCTCCCCTTTTTAGTGGAAAGTATTGTTCCGACCATAGAATCAGCAAAAATGAAAAAATTAATTCCAAACCTAAACGATAAACAGAACTATATTGTACATTATAGAACTCTAAAACAAGCTATTTCGAATGGCCTAATAGTAACGCAAACTCATAGAGTTTTGAAATTCAATCAGTCAAAGTGGTTGAAGAAATATATTGATTTCAACACAGTATTGCGCAATTTATCAGCCACAAAATTTGGTATGGATTTATTTAAATTAATTATAAATGCGATTTTCGGTAAAACAATGGAAAATGTGGAAAAGCGTAAAGACATAAAATTAATAACAGAGTGGGAGAACAGCGTCGGTAAAGTTGGAGCACGCGCATTAATAGCTCGTCCTAATTTCAATAGCTGTTCGTATTTCACTGATGACTTTGTAGCTATCCATATGGATAAGGTCAAAGTGATCTATGACAAGCCAATATATGTTGGGTTTTCCATATTGGACATGTCGAAAACCGTAATTTATGATTTTTTTTACACCTTCATCAAGGAAAAGTTTGGTGATGATGCTTCCTTACTGTACACAGACACGGATTCCCTAATATTAAAAGTGTTTACGGATGATTTTTATCGCGTTATCGCAGAAAACCCAGACAAATTCGATACATCGAATTGGGTTGACGGAAATCCTTCACAGTATTGAGTGATGTTGTCATCCGGCCGCGAATTGTGGGAAAACTTGAGAAGGCATTGACAATGCCTTCGAAAGTAGCGCGCAATAAGTATGTTTTATGCAGCGATTCACCCGGATGGATCGACAAAAAAGCCTAGGAAAATACCGGACCTCGTCCACACCGAAAACCGCTCCAAAACCCTCGAACACCTGGTACCCGACGTTGTGGTTATCGAGGGACCAGGTGCTGTTTCACAGCCATCACCACAGCCGCCCCAATACTCGCCGATCACTCCAGCCACTTCGTCGGAACGCGAAATGCCTCCACCGATTTCCATTCCTGACGATAATTCGGATCAGCCGTTATCGCCAATCATCACTTGTGGGAGACGTAGGAAATCGGTGCGCGCGGCAAAAAAGAACTTGAGTGCGGCATCCGCGACGCGAATAGTGAAAAAGAGTGCGAATTTCGAATCCGCGACGACTTTTTCACAGCCGGATTGGAGCGGGTTTTCGGCCTCAGGAAAAGACATTTTTTCGCGCGCGATGGAAAACCATAGCACGCTCCAAAAACAATTGTGTGAGGAGGAGGTTGCATTGGAGTTGTATCGTAGTGAGTATGCAAAGTTTCGGCAGAAAATGCTGGACGCTGAAAGCTGCATGAGCAATTCCAATGCGAAAATTTCCGAACTAAAAAACAATTTGCGGACTATTGCAAAGACTTTTAATTTTAGTGATAAGTAGTATATATATATATATATATATATATATATATTTCGATAGCATTAGGATGTGAATTTTAGTAAATAGTGATAAGTAGTGTATATATTTTGTTAGGATGTAGATTTTTGTAAATACATGTGTTTTTTGTTTGAAATTTCGTTTTCACATTAAAAAAAAAAAATTGAATGAGGTGCGACAAAGAGCTCAGTTCACGACTGGCACCTTGTTCTAAAGACTTATTCAATAATCTAACATATTATCGAATAATTCTAACAAAAAGCTCTTTGAATCGAATTTTGTTATGGATTAAATAATAAAAATTGAAATGCTCAAATGAATCGTTTTATTCTCCCCATTAAATTAATGTAAAATTAGTAAAAGGTCTAGGTCGTCGTCATCGTTATTGCGGTCCGTCTCATCGTTGAAAATGGATGAGCCTCTACTCTCGGGTCTTTCTGGTTGTGCACATATAATGATGATTATGATGATGAATAAAAATGATTTCTTAGTCAAACGTTCCAAACTTTTATACCACCAATCCCACTCTTACGCAACTCAACTTTCAAACAGAATCGACCTAGAAGTTCACAAATTCGAGGTTAATATTCTGTAGTCTTGAAAATTGATTACCAAGGATTTTGCCGAGGATTTCAGTCTTCGGTAATTGAGGACTCATGGATTTTTGTAAAAACGAATGGTGTGCGGAAAAAACAGTCTAGGCCACCTTCGCCACTCGGTCCTTGTGATTCCACAACTGTGTAGAACGCATATGTCCCCCTCGAACCCTAACAAAATCGGCCAAACAAAAAAGAGCCACAAAATATTTTGATTGTAGTTTAGTTAAAATGTACAAAACTTTTTTTTTGTCTCTCTCAATAAATAAGTCACCAGTTCTAAAAGCGGTTTTAAAGCTGAAAGAGGATTTTGAATACGGCTGCACATGTTTATTTCTTATCCCCAAATATTTCATTGGGGATTATTTAAGGTTTTCTTGAAATATACAAAAACAAACTTGTAGAGATATATATCATTTATTAGAAAAAAAAATTTGAAAAAAAAAAAAAAAAAATCTATAGCTATACTTATTCTAAAATTCTATAGCTATACTTATTCTATATATTATTTATTTTAAAAAAAATCATATAGCTATACTTATCCTAAAATTCTATACCTAAACTTATGTCCACAAATTATTAAAAAACTCTTTATCTTTGGCAATTTTCACTTCTGTCTCTTCACGTCGACCAATCAGCACACGCAGATCCACCTGGTGTAGCGCCACTTGTTGGTTGGCGTCCTCCAACTCTTGCTCTTCTGCTGCCAATCTTGTTTTCAAAGCTTCGAGTTGAGCTTTTGAAGCTTCAACTCTCCGCCGAAAATCCTCAGCATGATTGATTGAAGATTCAAGATTTTGTTCTGCTGCTACAACAGCAGCCCTCTCAGCAACAACTTTTTCCTGAAGAGCCTCCTTCCGTCGGATTACTAACTGGAGAAGGTCATCAGATTCTGGTTGCTGCTGCTGCTGTTGCTGCAGCTGTTGTTGCAGCTGTTGTTGTTGCTTCTTGCTGCTGCTCTGTTCGGACGACATCTTTTGATTTTGTGCTCCTGCCCGCCGTCTTTTTGCACTGGGGCGACCTTCTTCCACCCCATCCCCCCCAGTAAACAGCATTTTCGCTAACACAGATGCCCGTTGTTCTTCGTACGCAGGCCTCCTCATCAGGTTGAGATTTTTAATTGGCCTCTTGAGGGGGGGACCTGTTTGGAAAGCTTCGGCGTCGTCATCGTCAGATAGAATTACAATTGGGGCACACACTAGAGCGTCTAAGGTTATATTCCTTAGATCGCTTGGTAAATTAGCATCAAGGGTCTCTTCGATGACTGAGTTTTGAGACTCCATGATGCTAAGCTGACTGATAAAAATGTATGGGTAGATCGACTTTTAAAGTGGTACCTCACTCCACCCACACAAAACTCACCCACCTAAGATTTTTTCGATTGGGTGACAAATACCACCACCACCATGCGCCACCTACCCAACTACGCACTTGTATTCACACCCTCACAAATATATTCTTGTCTTCGTCTCTTCTTACAAAGCGCTGTCTCGCTTCATCATTCCCAAAGAAAACTACCCTTTTAACAAAAGCGCGAGTTCATGGTACCGCACCACCACCCATTCTCTTAGTTGAGAAATTTATTGAATGACGTTGCAATGACGGAACATTTTGGGAATAAAATCATACATTTTTTATATACCACCTAACCTCAATAGATTTTTGCATTAATACAGTGTGATTATCTGATAGAAAGACATTCTTGTTTTCAAATTTATCAAGCAAAACTAAAATCAAAATGTGTGTCGTTTGCCAAATGAGAGATAAAAAAAAAAAAAACTAAAAACATTTTCGTTGGGGAGCCGCCAGTTATTCGGAACACCTGCACTTTTACAAAATGAATTTCTCTAAAAGCTTTCTAAAATAAATCAGACACCTGTCTTCTAACAAAATGACCCAATTGTTCGGGACTTGCCATTGTAGTCAAAAGCCTATTGTCCTATTCGACGGATAGATTTATGCTCCCAAAATATCCCTGTTATTCGGAACACCTGCACTTTTACAAAATGTATTGTATGAAAATACGTTTGTCTCCGACCTTTCAAAAATAAATCCGACACCTACATTCCAACAAAATGTCGTTGATCGTAGATAATCTTAATGCTTTCACAAGCCGAGTATAGTCAATGAAAAGAACCTACTAATTGCTTCTTTCTTCAATCACACCGCGTATCGTCATGGCGCACTTTGATTGGGGAGAATCGAATGTGATGAGTGTTTACCAACAAAAAATTTGGATCGAAACTATACACAAACATATTTTAAACTAGTTGGAGTAGGCGAGGCAACACGTGTTTTGTTTAACCACACAAAATTTATTTATGTTTGTACATATAAGCGCACACAACTTCTCCAACAATATATGGATAAAAAGTTATGATCAACTAACTACGATGAATTTTTTTGAGGACCATTTCATTTCCGAGGGGGGTATAGCATTCGACATCATAAATAAGGGTACAACTACTGACTTTGTTGGATAATTCACCCAGTAGTTGAGTCTGCGGGACCCGAGCAATCTTCCGGTTCCGAAACGGGTTCCGGCCAGTCGCTGCTTGAGTCCGGCTCCACTAGACTACGTGCATCTTCTTCAGCCTGCAAGTCCACCAAATCCTGCAATTCTTGTAAAATTAGTAAAAGCTCTAAGTCATCATCATTATTGCGGTCCGTTTCGTCACTGAAAACGGATGAGCCTCTACTCAAAGGTCTTTCAGGTTGTGCCATGATGATAGGAATGACTTCTCAGTCAAACGTTTCAATATTATAATTTCGATACCACCACCCCACCATACATCTCAAGTATAAACTAACGCCCACCCAATTCACACGTGATATAATATCGATTTAAACTTCTGGGTTTTATAAATGCGTTTATTATTTAAATAAATAAAAAATTACATAAATTATATCTATTTGTAACTGAACTTAAAAACTAATACAGGGATCTATTTGCTACAGAACCATTTAACATATTATAACTAAAATAAGTGTCGTGAATTATTAACGCATAAACTTTAGTGTCTTTTGGAAATTTAGTCTTTCTTGTTTGAAATTCTATTTTCACATCCACTGTGGAGGACTTCACGGCTTCTGGTTGTCGGCTGCAATCGATAATAAACACAGGATTTTGTAAATACTCTGCAAAATCCAACATTGGCTCGTTCATCTCACGTCCATAGTAACTACTTTGGAAATTTTCATAGTTGTAATATGCTGGTGCATACAGTTTCTTTGAAAATTCTAGATTCCATCTTTCATATGGATATACCGAGGAATTCAGGTATAAGCGAATGTCGCTCACATCAGCCGTAGTAAATTCTGTGGCGTCTTTTTCTTTCTTATCACAATTTTCGTTTTTTTGGAAACCGATTATAAGAAAGCGGGGTCGCTCCAAACTGTTGCTAGTTTTTAAAGTCCAAATATCGGCTGAAGTCTCACGCAATGTAGGAAGTTCGTAAAGGTCCCATTTGCGGTGAGCTATTTGAATATTGGTACTTTGGCCCACCTTATTCATGCGTGACATTATTTTCAACTTATGATCATCGTTGGGAATGATATGACGGATTTTCCATTCAATTTTGTCGAGTGTGATGTCTGCTTCCACTTCACCGATATAACAGTTGGTGAAGGTACGAGCAATTATCAATATAAGCTCCTGCTTGACGTTGAAGATTCCCTTCGTATAGTCCTAGGCAAAACCCATTAAATACTTTAGAGGCAATTTACCAGAAAACACGTGACTTGTGGAATCGATGAGATGCTGTTTATCTTCAGCCAGCCCCCAACCACGAGCTAGTAGGGGTTTCAACTGTGAAGCACCAAACGACACCATTGTTTTAAGGGCCGATGTAATTCCAGGTTTTCGAACAACTGTTACATGCTCACCACCCATTTCATATCGAATTTCGTCGAACAGAAAGGCTAGGGCATTATTGGATAGGTAGCACTTTTTAGCGGGATCTTTGGGCTTAAACTTCCCCTCGATATAGATATAGACCTGAGAGCAGAGGCTCATCCATTTTCAGCGATGAGACAGAACAAAACAATGAAGAATTAGATCTTCTAGAAATTTTGAGGGATTTGCAGGAATTCGAGGAACTACAGGACGAAGAGGCTCGTCGTCAGGTAGAGCCGGACTCGAGCAGCGACTGGCCTGAACCAGTTCTGGAGCCGGAACAGTGTTTGGGTCCAGCAGATTCAACTACTGACTGATTAATCATGTTACGTCAGTAATTGTGTATTTATGATGACGAATGGCTACCTACGCCCCTGGAAATGAAATGGTTCTTTTTAGGACCACAAAAAGATTTATCGTAGTTAGTTGGTTGCAACTCTGTATCCATATATTGTTGTAAATTATGAACAATATCAGGTGCAAAGTTGGGACCATAGGCACATTCCCACAGTTTGTTTTGAATTTATCAACATTTAATTTGTTTAAATTATCATTTATTCAATTTAAATGGAAAATCATGTGTGTAATTCGAGGGCAAAGTAGAATTATCGCTTTCATGAGATAGTCACTCAGTTAATCGGCAATGTATCACTTTGCGCTCTTGATAGTGTGCTTTTCCATGTTGAGAATATAGATTTTTCGCGCTTGCGATTCTGATGTTGAAAAAAAAAAACAGTTGCATCTAGGAAATTCTAACAAAAACTGTTTTCATTTCAAACAAACACAAAAATATATCCTTGAAAACAGTTTTTGTTAGAATTTCCTAGATGCAACTGTTTTTTTTAAAACAGCAGAATCGCAAGCATGAAATATTTATAGTTTCAACATCGAGAAGCGCATTCTTAATACACAAATAGTTATTTATTTTATGTGTATTCACAAAAGATAAAAACGTATTTGCTAATGGGTACCTAATAGGGAAATAAAACGATTTATTTGGGCATTTCAATTTTTATTATATAATCCACAAGACAAAATTTTAAAGAGCTTTTTGTTAGACTTATTCGATAATGTATTAGATTATTGAATAAGTCCGTAACGAGGTACCAGACGTGAACTGAGCTCTTTTAAGTACCTCATTCATTTTTTTTTTGTTGGGAAAACGAAATTTCAAACAAAAACCCATGTATTTACAAAAATCTACATCCTAAAGCTAACAAAAATATACACCTACACTAATTATCACTATTTAAAAAGATACATCATAATACAAACTAAAAAATACACTACTTATCACTAAAAGTAAAAATCCTGGACAAGAACGCTAAGTTTTTTTTTCACTTTGGAGATATCGGCTTCGGAAGTAATAATATCGTTTCTGGCTTCCGAAGCGCTCTGTTCGTGATACACCAAGTCACTTCTACGTTTCTCCAAGGCAACGTTCATATCCGACAATTGTTGTTTCAACGCACTCACAACTTCATTTGCGCGCGTATAAGCGTCTATCTGTGATGGCGTAAACCCGCTCCAATCCGGCTGTGGAAAAGATTCCTCGGATGCTGTAGGCACACAAGATTCCTCAGATTCGACACCCGTAATCTTTTCCACAGCCCGCAATGATTTCCTATGTTTACCCACACCGATGGGGGATTCCACACACACATTGTTTTTTATAGCTCGCACCCGGTTCTTATGTTGAGCACCGCCGATGATGGGCGATAACTTTTCATCATTATCGTCCGATGGAAATATCGGCGGCGGTGGCGACATTTCACTTTCCACTGGCGCGAGCTCAATTGTGGGTGAGGGCTGTGACACTGGCGCGAGCTGAATTATTGTGGGTGATGGCTGTGACACCACACCAGGTCCTTCTATCACCTCAACATTCGCAATTATTGGGATAGGCTTTTCGGGATTGGCGGGGATTGATATTTTTCCCCGTTTTCTTGCTTTCTCATCATCAACCGCCTCATAAAACATCCGCTTATTGCGAGCAACTTTCGAAGGCATTGTCAATGCCTTCTCCAGCTTGTTCACGATTCGCGGCCTTATGACGACGTTGTTTAAAACGCGCACTTTCTCCCGTCCACCCCGCTGCCCATCTTCAACTTGATAGAGGAAATTGGCCATCGCCTCATCACACTCCGCGTCACAGCCATCATTAAGGGGATCGTCATCTTCGGGTCGCAGGTTCTTGGATGGTTTATCTTCGAGGGCTTCGATTTGCACACAACCATCGTCTAATAGTTCATTTTCGCCAAGGTCGATGGTTGGCAGATCGGGTGAAAATTGCGCACCCCCGATACGATTCAACAGGTCGTCAAGAAGATCCACAGGAACCGACTGGATTCCTTCGTCGAGATATTCTTGCACCGACGGTTCCAAATATATTGCATCGAATTGCGAATCCATTTTTTTTTTTTTTTTTCCCGAGTCGCTTGAAATTAAAAAACCGTTTATGAAGAACTGGTCGTCACAACTAATTTTGGGTCTGCAAGAAGAGTGAAGAAATTCTTTCGAAAAAAAAAATTCTCCCACCAAACACCCACGATTGAGGGTTGAATTAATCGTCGAAAGCAAGGTCGACATCTCAGGGACAGGTAGAAGGACAGCTGTAAGCCCTTTTTAACATTCCACACGCGACGAGAAAAACGCCGGTCCATTTCATGGTCAAAATATTTTTTCAACCATGTAGAGGCATCAAATAGGACAGGGGTATACCCTTTTTTAAATTCCATTCGCGTTGGAAGAAACATTTCAAACACAGGGGTTCTCAAAATTTTGAATATGAACCCAGGAGTGCCCAATTATTATGAATAATAATATTTCAATGAAGATTCCAGAAGCTCTTGTAAGCTCTCGGCTCTCATTACATATTGAGGCTCACTGAATTCTTCTAGAACCAATCTCCGAGCAATGTTTCTACACCTTTGCAAAATTACTGATCGTGGAGCAGCTCTAAACATTTGTTCTTCATAATAATTTCGTGCAATTTGCACCAAATGTTTCACAATCGGATTCGCGCACAAATTACAGAAGCCCGATTCATTAATTTCAACACTACGCGTATCACATAGCATGCAAAGACGTTCATTATTTATTGAATAGGGTTTAACAATAGCCGTTGGTTTCATATTGATAACGTGTTGTCACGATGGTAGTTGAATGAAATCATACTATGAAAATATTTCACTACCCTGTGAAAAGTTGATTTTGTCGAGGTCAAACTGATTTTGTCTAGGTCAAACAACCTACTATGGGAATATTTTGTTGCCTTGAAAATGGTAGATTTTTTCACGGTTCGAAACTATTATGAAAATATTCTGTTATTCTTAGAAGGATTACCAAGGATTTCCAACTTCTTGGGGTCCCAGTCCCAGACCATACTGTCACTTTGGACCAGCATTCAAAGTACTTAACCCATCAGATTTTTGCGGGGGGATTTTTGCGGGGTTACCATAGGCTCGAAAGGTCTAACAAACAAGCAAATAGGCCAAAACAACTAAACTACAATCAAAGTATTTTGTGACCCTGAAAAGGGCCAATTTTTGTATGCAGGGATCACATATGGCATATCAGACAATCCACTGTATCCACCATCAGGAAACATGGATGACAACAAAGGTGACATTTAGGTATAAGATCTGGTGGTATCATATCACCATCAAATACCGTTACATGTCGATGTACCTTCTCATTTCCATATCTAAGCATTTCGAAATATCTCTGCCATCCAAGCCACGAATCATAACATCTCCTACATGTTATCAGATCATTATGATCCAATCCGGTGATAGAGAAATCAATTCGTTGCCTGAAATAGGAGATGATGAAGCACCTCCCTTCGATGTCACATGAAATACCTTCATCTGCCATAGTTGATGCTCTTTGCTGTTTCAACAAGAAATGTACTCTCTATATGCTGCCAACCCTATCATAAAATAGTGTACCCAGATAAATGAAGGCCACGCGTCAACTCATGGCTGCGCACACTCGAGTTCGCACAGCAACTCAAGGCCAAGGTCGTGTGACGTCAGAACATTACTAGGTCATTTTTCAAGGTCAAGGCTAGGGTCAGGAACGTGACGTCATAGGAGTGGGGGGTGATGAGTAACCACCATATCGACTCTACTTCTGTTGCCTCGTATCATTTTCTATTCTGGCAGCTTGTTCCATGGTAAGTGTATCCAATGAGGCATGGTGAACTGGCGCCACACTTATCAAAATATCCACCATTTCTTTTGTGTCCAATGGCAAGGCTAAAGGTAGTCCTTCCACTTCTTCCACATGTTTCTCTGCAAGTCCTATCACAGAAACGGCATTTCTTTTTACACGTGCCATATGACCCAATAGTGACGACGCTGGCACAGATATAACTATTGGTTGAAAAAATCAGCATAAGGAAATAATAATGTTAACAACAGCTGTTACATACCATCCTGTATAAATATTCTATTTTGGGCAGTCATACCTTGGGTACAAAGTGCGCTTGCGAATGGCATCGATGGATTGATACTATTTAATGCAGTTTTTAATTGAGCAACACTTGATTGTGTGATTTTCTCCAACTTGCTGTTTCTTATGGGGCTTTTTATCCGACAAACTACGGGTGCTTTTTTCCTTTCGATGTTGGTTGAATCAATGAATACACTATTAGGAATTTGTTCTGGCAGAATTTTTGTTCCTCTTGGTTTATTCCACTCCATCGGGATTGAGGTGCATGATGCAGTTTCAGGAACTTGCTTAAGCCCATTCAAAATCAAATGTTGAAGGTAGTATGCCAGTCCAACGAGGTGATTGCAGGATTGTGAGTTTCTAGAAAATACCATTATTCCAACAATACTGCTAATATATGCAAAATATAGTTTTCTTACCCAGCTTCACATGTACAGTGACCTTCAATCATAACATCCATTGATGGTGAAAACCTCAAATGAAGTCTATGAGGGATTTCATTTTTTTTTTTGGCTTCTGAAGCACTTTGCTTTGATGATGCACTCACTTTTATTTGTGAAAACTTCCTGGATATACCCTTCAGCAAAAAATCGATAGCCACGATCACGTTGCCTATTCGTCCATGATTGCTTTTTGAAGAAGGCTTCAGCGATCCCAAAATGGAAGTTTTTGAAAGACAAAAGGTCTCTCGACCACAAGCTTCTATCAATATCACTCATCATGAAAGCAAAGCTCACCAAAATTCACAGTTTTTACACTCTCACACCACAATAACAATACAAATAAATCTCTCTCCAAATAAATATAAACATGTAAACATGAAGTCAGAAGGACAAATGACATAACCACAAAAAAAATAATAATCCAAAAATACAACAAACGATTAAGTACGTTCTTTTCGGAAGAAGAACAGTTCGTTAGGTGACTATCGGAGTATTTTCATCTCTTTTCATTTGACGTCATTGGTATGTTCCACCAACATTTGCGCAGGTTTTGAATCGATCCCCGTTTGCGCATGAAAAATAATGGTTACTCTTTCTAGCAACCTCAAATTGCTATTTATATCTTTGTTTGACACAAACTAAATAGGTCTTTTATCGTTCTTGGATACTTTATTATAAACATATGTCGTGATCTGGTGCAGCTACAGATTAGAATCATATTTGGTGTTTATCTAGGACAACACATAATTTTGCCTAATAAATTTGTCAATTTTGGCTTATAATTGACTTGAAACTATAAAATTTGATACATTTTTTGCTTTAAGTGCTTTCCTTTAATTCTCGACCAGATTAGTTATCGTTCCCAGAATCGCCATCTGTTTGTAAAACCCATTAAGATAAAATTTTAACTATTTCCAAAAACCGTCTCTGGTTACTCCCATGAAATACGTACTTGAACCGAGATTTGAAATTTACTATTAATTCTGTTACAAATATGGAAATTTGTGATTTTTGAATAAATCTAACCTCAGCATCAGAACAAAAATTAATAGTTCGAAAATCGTCCCGAACAGAGTATGAACCGATTGGATCGACGTTGGATAGTTCTTAAATACTTGAACTGATTTTTAGTTCAAAAACATAGTTCTAAACTTACTCTAATTTCCATTTTTGCAATAACTTGATTTATAATGATGAACAAAAAAATTAGAACGGACAAATTAATGCAAACTATGCTCTTGAAAACTTCGTCTTTGATACGCAAAACTAATTACAAGAACCTGATGGCGCTGATTGACGCTGCTACCTCTAGCGAAAAAGATCGAACAAAATACCCCATGCATAAAGATTTTTATGGTGCTAGGAACATAATGGATAACTATTCCCTTCTGTGTCTACTCGGATTTAAGGAATGAAATTCGAAGAATATTTAGCTGCTATCATATGGAACAAATATTGTATTGTGAAATTTTTTTTTTTTGAAGGTCATTCCTCAGAAAATTCCGTCAAGAAACAATTTTTCGAAATCCTTCCTACAAGCCACTTCTGTGAGCTGTGAGAGCTAGTCTCAAAATCTTAATAGTAGGTGATTAAATTATCTACTTTTAAATATTAAGGATTTCCTATAAATTGAAAAATAGTGAAAAATACAATTTTATGATTTTGTTACCTTGTAGCAATCCAAACACACAACAAAGCCACATCTACCACATGACCAATGATAATTGAATAAGGTAGTTGAAGAAATATAACATATTTCCCTCACACCGTGAACAAATCTTTTCCAGAATACTGTTTTATCTGAAAGGCAGAAAAAACATATTTAGGATATGTATTTTACGAGTTAAAAAAGAGGGATGTGACTTATCAACAGACTTGTTCACGGCAGAATCGCTAAAACATGTTCTTGCTTGTATTGCTATGGTCCAGCGTCATCCTACTTTAAATCACCCCCCCTCCCTCGGCAAGAAGTACTATATTCGAGATACAGGGATTTTCATTATGGTTTGTAACTTCAGTGTCGCTATGGTCCTGCCTCATTCTGCCTCAATTTTCACCCCAGCAACACCAAATATTTTTGAGTGACACACTGGTAGCATTACAAGAGTCTAGTCATAGGAATAGGAAGTGCTCGAGACGACACCATTGGCAAATGTTTCGTAATGAATACTAGTCTTCGTATGTTGGTATTTTAGACGAAAAGAGCTAATCTAAACTAATCCGTCCTCATAATGAATGCTAGTCTTTGTGTGTTTGATAGACCAAAAGAGCTTATCCAAACTAACCCAAACTTACCCGTTCATAATATTCTTAGAAAAAATTTAAACCCCTAAAAAAAAACCTTGAAAACAATAAGCCTGGGTCCATTTGCTCCAAAAATCGAACGTATTCCAATTGGGTCACAATACCTTTTAAGTAATCATAGAAATCGCAGCAACAACGTGCCCTACACATGCAGAAACGTTTTTCAGCGATCCTGCTTCAATGTGTCGCCAAGGATGAAGTTAGCGAACAAAATAAACATCGCTATACCTTGAAAATAGTAGGTACATGTTGCTGGGCTGTAATTAAGAGTAGAATGAGGCAGGGCCATTTAACACAAGCAGGAACATATGTTAGCCATCCTGCTTCCAATGTGTTGCCGAGGGTGAAGTTAGCAACCCTAATAAAAATCGCTGTATCTCGAAAATAGTAGGCGTTGCCGTGGTCAGATTTGAAGCAGGAGAAGGCAGGCCCATAGCAGCACAAGCAGGAACATGTGGTTAACTTTCTCGACATGCCCACCCGTTATTCTGATGATTTGTGGTGTGCCTCAGGGCACTGTGCTGGATCCACTATTATTTAATGTTCACATAAATAGCATTCTGTCAATTCTTGATGAGAGGATAGTAATTTGCTTTGCTGACAGCTATCATAGTTTTTTCTGGTTCTACCTTCACTGTCCAACTTTTGTTCGAAAACTCGACATAAAATGTCGGGAAAATTGGCAATGTCATCCGTTCCTTTACCGAGCCGATGGAGTTCGTCGGTAACTTTCGACCATTGCCGATTCGCAGTAAATGTAAGAAAATAGGTTGGAGGCCTACCCAATTTCCTACAAAGGGCCATACAATCCATGTACCCGTTGAAATAGTACCTACGAGAACCCGGAATGGTAGGCGGTAATACAATGACTTTACCGACCGGTAGAGGCTGCGCCGAATCTCCAAAGCCTCTCCTTGCGGCTTCTTTTAACAAAAAGTCTCTCAGATTGGCATAGGTTTCTGCGCGCATATACCTCTGATTCCCTATTGCCCAATTTACATTATTGTACTCGATTTTTACGCCCGCATCCACAAGATACTGCAGACGTAACTGCCCTGCGTGCTCAAGTACGTTCCAATAACGTACACTATCCAATCTCACCAAATTGGAAAAAAGTCTCACACAATAATACTCGCGTAAGGAATTAACTTGATCTCGGTCATTTTGTTGAAATGAAGACTCTCCATGAAGATGGATAAGTGGATAAAGCATGAGGTCTAAAGTGCACCTCAAGACGTTGACCTCCCTATACGGAAGAGCCGCGCCTTCCTGCAATGGCATCACAGCGATCTCGACGTCGTAATAACATGGCGGTCTATCGCCTAGATATAATCCGGCAACGGTTTCGTTGTGAGGATATTGCATTCCAGACTTGGCCGCCGCACCCTTATGTCTTTGAAATTTAAAACGACTAGCGTCCTGATCCTCTTTGTCACGAGGGTTAAAACATAAAATCCTCGTAAGTGTCCCCAGCGCATTTAAAAATACGCATGAGAACATTTTCGACTCGCAGATAAATTTCCAGTGTCCTAACAATTGGAATCTCTAACTTAGTCGAAACAGTCGACAAATTAATTCTAGCCTTAACAACCTCCTCGCTCACATCCATGAAATATAGATAAGCCTCATTCAAATTATGTAGACCAGCTACATGCGTTGACGCCATAAACCGAACTTGCCTATCGACGACCGCTGCTTCGTCGGCAGGACGGCTGTCTGAAAGATCCAGACCAGCGAACGTCCCGCGCCGATGAACAGTTGCAAAGATGCTATTATACGCCATGATAAATTTGTGGAAATGACTTTTCCTCATCGCAGCCCTATCCTTACAATAATATAGGGAAAGTATTCGAGGATCATGAGGTTTCCTGAACAAACTGGTTTCTGCCAAACCCCGTTTCCCTAACCCACAGCATTGTTCCGTGCTCTTGGTCTTTCTGGACAATTCGGTGGCCCAAAATTTAGCACCGCAATGCTTACAAAACCAATCGTCTTTGTTCGAATTCGGAAGCTTATGTACCGGAATATCTTGAAAATCGCGGTCACCGAATTCCCACGCGTTTTGATAAAACTCTATAACTCTATCATTCCTCATATTCCACTCTGGCTTTACCGAATCCGTAGCAGGAAGCGGCTTCCACTTTTTGATTCTTTTTTCGAACTCGACTTTTTTAAATTTTTGACTCAAACTCACAATACGCGGTTGTGGTGCATGTCGCTCCCGTGCGGGAGATTTCACAGGTACTGCAGCGACAGGAGCTAGTGCAGCAGGAGCTACTGCTACAGCAGGAGCTACTATAGCAGGAGTTTCTACAGTAGAAACTGCTACAGCAGGAGTTACTACCACAGGAGATCGTGCAGCAGCAGCACCAACAACATTAACGGGTAGAGGAATGACAATATCCTCGTATAAATCGTAGTGATTGTTACCGACGAAACGTAATACAATTGAAGTGTTATCTTGGGGACCCACATCAACCACTTCGCGGCCGTTTCTTATGACGACAACTCTCCTTTGTAAAACATTAGAAAAGGCAAAAATTTCGGCATAGGAACCCCATACAGAGACTTTCATCATTTTCCTATAATAATGGTCTATATTATCATAATCAAAAACATTATTAGCATATTCATCCCACTTATCCCTCACCTCGTTGACTAAAATTTCACGCAACTCCTCATGTGAAAAATTCCCCCCCATTCCCACAGAAAG